AATAGGGGCAGTATTATCAAAAATTGCTTCGCTGGAAGAATTGGTTGATAACCTACGCTCAATTGAAGTTGGTAACTGTTTTAAAATATTAGGTGGATGGTTGGAACTAGCCTGGATGTAATTTAACGTACTATCAGGTTTGCGGTATGGTTGGAAACTACTGTTGTTAAGGTTCAATGTTTCATCTAGGTAATTAACAGTTTTCATATTAGATTGGATAGAAATACTAAGGCTGTTTTGATTAAATATTTGCGTGAAATGTTTCTTGATTTTCGCACCATCCAAAAAAAAATTTTATTGGATGGTGCGGAGGTTTGTGAACTAGTCTTTGTGAACTAGTCTAGTTTGTGAACTTTCGCACTCCTCACCATCCAATAAAAATTTTTTATTGGATGGTGAGAAGTGCGAAAATCATTATTATTTACCAACTTGGTCGTTGGTAAATAATAATGATTTTCGCGCATGAAGAATTAAAGATTTATGGTCAGTAGCGATGGTAACATATTGCTCTGCAAAGTGAATGAAGTCGATAAGGAGTTTTTCGTTAATTGAAGGATAAAAGTCAACAATGTCAAAAATAAGGAATTAGTAAATGTGTTTATCTTTAATATTTTTGAACCGATTAATTATGTCTTGTGTGTTATTGCACAGATTTAGTTGCAAAATATTTCTTAGATTGGTATTAATATCAAATAAAATATGCTTACTAACTCTTCCGATTTGGTTCTTAGCGGGGTTTATAAGGCGAACCATAGGGTTATTTAAAAAGTTTGATTTATGGTCTTTCAATGTATTAAAGCGATCAGAAGATCCATTTATATTGATTTTGTTATATATATCGTGCTTCTTCAAAATAACCTTTCCTTCTTTATTAATATGGTCTTTTATCATGGGGTCGGTTTTTTTATAATTGGAAGTAGTAGCATTCATTAACAATTTATTATATTCTTCTTTTGATAGTTTGTATAAATTTGAGGTTTTATCAGCATAAGTGTAAATATGGATTGATTTTCGAATAGAAGAAATGTCTTGTTTAATGTATTTTGAATGCTGCATTGGACCATTCTAAACTGTATATTTTTAATTAACTTGAACAAATCGCTTTCAAACCCAGTCATATCTTTAATTTGTTGTGGACAATGTGGGGGGGTAACACCGTAAAATTTAAAATTTTTGTTTTTGTTATTAGTATCATTCATACCGTTAGATTGTTTATTCATGTAGAAAAAGGCTTTCCACCTCATTCTTTTGATTAGGATTTCAGTTTTTTCGAGCAATCACAAATTGTAGTCTTTATTTGATGGTATAGGGATGTTTTTTATTGAATAATTGAAGTTAATTTTCTCCATTTTGTCTAACGACTTGAACAAGTTTAATTTGTTTAATTTAATTTGTTCAAATGCAGTTTTAGATCACCATTTGCTTACTTTTTTTGCATCATATTGCATGCTTCTCAGTTTGCTTTAATTATTTCTATGAAAGCAAGACACTGCTCTTCAATTTTAACATATGCATCAGGAGTATATTGCTGAAATAATTTCTTGCCATAAATTATTTAAGGACCATAATTGTAAAACTGAGATAATTTATTGTGATTTCTAACCAATGTTGCATGTTAAGGGTTGCGAACCAATTATGGCATCTCTTCAAAAAAGAATGAATAAACCATAGGATCTAAGTTAGCTGACATATTCAGTATAACTTCTAAACCTTTTGGATATATAACTTCCCTAGAAGCAGGTGGAACATCATCTTCACCAACAAATACAACTGCAACATCTCTAACTAAGTTTGCAAATAAAACAATTAATTATCTAAGCAAAGTTGATCGGTGTTATTGTTTTCTAAAATTTACTGCTGCAAGTGGGTCAGAGATACAGTTGATAATGTTGGGGGAATATCTTGATCTGGTCTAAGATTACCTACACAATGGAAAAACTTGACCAAAACATGGCAGCCTATGATTCATAGGTTAAACCATATTATCAGTAAATAAAGCAAAATAAAAATAGGCATTATAAATTCTAATATATTTATAAAAAATTGATATTGGAATTATGATATATATAACTTCCTGTAAACCTTCTTGCTTCTTGAAATAGTGAAAATAAACAAAACTACCATCCCATATTTTATTAATTCAAATAACAATTTTTAAAATAAAAACTTATAACAATTTAATTAAAGGTTTATTGAAATCTTTTTAAAAGTTTATATAGATATATAAGTATAGTTTACTAAATTAAAAAAATAATACAAACTGTTTATAACATGAACTTAAATTTATTTTACTTATAAAACAACATTTCATAGTATCAACTATTTTTAATGTAACAAAGAATGCAGACTACAATGCACAACATTGTTAATAAAAATGAAGTTATGTTAGTCAGTATAAATTTATCTAAGGTAATGAAAAAGATGAAACCATTTATAGACAATTAAAAATTTCTAATAAATATATTTTCAGATACCTTAAAATGAAGCATAACACAACATTCTTTTGACAACTTGCAGCAGAATTTTTTTTTACTTTGTCTAGTCTTTATTATTTTTTCTAATAGAAAATATACATATAGATATAGAGAAATATAAAATATAGTAAAATATATGCAAGTTTATGTACATAAACTTATGTCCTCAAATAACAATCTTATTTTATTTACGACCAATAATCTTTATTTATAAATAATAAAATGAATTGAACTTAGTAAAAAGCCTTCAGCTCCTTGTAACTGCTCTAAAAACAATAATTGCCTAAAATGTTCTAAAAAGACTAAAGAAAAAAAACTGAAACACTTCTAGTTCCAACTTCTTCTAAAAAAAGAAAACAGGCTATAAAAATTAGAAAAATAAAAATAACTAACAACAAACAATTATTTAAATTTTTATTTTAGTTTTTAAACAATTAATAACATCAATTCTTCTTTAAACTAAAAATTTCTCAGCTCTAATTTGCTTGCAGACCTTGCGTGGTATATAGAATCGCATATAAAAAAGACTAGAAACTATTTTAAAATGGCGTAAGTTGGCTACTGTTAACTATTTAATTACAGTATTAATATTAAGATGCCATTTGTGCACACAGAGTTTCTTGTATCAGGGGCTGTCCATTAATTACGTCAACAAATTTTTTGAAATTTTTACCTTACCGTTATTTAAGCAATGCAACTCAAATATAAAAAAAATAGTTGACATCAACTTTGATTGACCTCCCCCTTCCCCCTTGTCAACAACTGTCAAAAAAGTTCAACCCCCCCCCCTCCTCGCTATTTTATTGACGTAATTAATGGACAACCCCTCAATGGAATCTAGAAAGACTCTGGATTACAGGATCAACAGTACTATCACACAAATTATGAATTGATTGCTCTCTAGTAACAAATAAATTATTAAATAAAAACAAGTTTTTTTATTGACTGGGGCATATACTCCTAACTTCAATTTGAGTGCAGGCCAGGAAAAAAATTTTTGGTTAAAAAATAAAAAAAAATACAATTAAAATTTTTATTTTAAAATATTCTGAATTGGAGTGTGGGCAAAATTGACATACATTTAAATTCTTCTCAAAAAATGATTTTAATCATAGAAACATGGTTTTTTTCAATTAAGTCCAGTAATTCAAAACTATGCAATCACAGAAAAGACTTATTGTGGTGATTGTATATTTATTCTAAATGCACTAATAACCTAAGAGTATTGAATCTCATACTTGTATGTGATTTAATTGACTAAGTATGGTGCTCAGTTATCTTGGTCTGTCTTGGTCAAAAATGGTATGCAATTATGCCCTATCTCTGACCATGCATATGTTTTGTTTTGATAACTGGACCATGGTTTTTTAGATGTTTTAAGAACATTGTGCTGAATTAAATAACTTCAAAACTTTGATCTTTTTTAATTGATTGTTTTTATATTAGGCGCAATACTTTAAAAATTAAGTAACAAATTGTATTTTATTTAAAATTTAATTTGAATTATCAAATAAAATTGTATACATTTATTCTTAGTTTGATAAATTTTTTAGGAATCTATTATGAAAGTTATTAAATTTGAAAGTTTAACAAGGTTGTATAAATACATGTTTACATTTAAAAAAAATTTAATATAATAATCTTTGATAATTGAAATAAAATGTGCTTATTTATTAAACAATCATTACCAGTAATTTATAACTTTATTTAATAGCATTTGATTAATATTCTAAAAACAATAAAATAGATCAAAGTTTTGAAGTAATTTATTCGAAATGTATTTGTAAATGTTATTCTTTTTTTTTCTTTTTTTTTTTTTTCTTTTTTTTTTTTTTTTTTATTTAGACCTTCAGGTTTTTAAGTTAATTTGTTTTATTTTTTTTTCTTTATTGTTAAGGTTTCTTTTCCTTTTTTTAGTTCGAGATTTTTGTTTATTTGCTCTATATCCTCAAGTTTAGCCTTTATAAGAATTGCAGTTTATAGTTTTTGTTCAGGTTCAAAATGGATGCCTTTTGTTAAAAATTGGTTTCATGACTTTGTCAGATTATTTGTTTTTGCTACGGGCATCAGCTGAGGCTTTATCAACTCTAGGTAGTTATGTGATGTTCTACTTAGCTGCTGCTGTGTCAGACTTCTATATTCCAGAGAGCGAACTGGTATACTTTTGTTACTGGAAATTTGAATTTTAATGTTGAAACTGTTGAGCTGATAGATTTCCACTGTTGATATTTTATGTTTTATTTATGGTGACTTTTTTAAAGTTCTTTTTATACTTTTTTTTAGCATGAGCATAAAATCCAATCATCAGATGAAGGTTTATCGTTACATATGACACCAACCCCAAAAATGTTGTCACCGTTAGTAAAGGAATGGGCAAAGAATGCATATGTTGTCTCGTTTAAGGTGACATATTTATTAAAATCAAGTCAATAAGCTTTAAATCCACAAAATTATATATATATATATAAATATATATATATATATATATATATATATATATATATATATATATATATATATATATATATATATATATATATATATATATATATATCTATGTGTATATATATATATATATATATATATATATATATATATATATATATATATATATATATATATATATATACATGTATATTAGTGTTGTCACAGTACCAAAATTTCAGTATTCGGTACCAGTACCAGTAAAAAACCACGGTTCTCGGTACCAATTTCGGTACCAAACCAAAGGTTAATTTAGACTAAATTTGCCAATAAAAATTCACAATTCTTTGTATCAAAGCAAAACACAAAAACATGCTAGCTGAAAAACACACTATTTTTATTAATAAAGTTAAACAATGCCATTCTTCATACTTGTTTAAAATTGTGTTTCAACTTTTTCCACAAATAATAAATGAAAAATTACAAACCTAAAAAACTCAATTTTTATAAATTAAACAAAATATGCCATGACCAACAAGTAATAAACTAAAATATTATTATAAATGTAAAAAAACAATGGCATAATTTAAGTATTTCAAGCCAAGGATTGTAAACATTTGAGTAATTAAATAACTAGATAAATAACAACATTTTTTTCAAACAAGTTTCACCCAAATCAATACTGGTCTACAAAGTTATTCCTTAAGTTACTTTCTTTGCCATTTCCAGATTTTTCGATAGAAACACTAACATATCAACATGTTCCTGACTCAGTCTTGAGCGTCTTGGGCTAACAATGTACCCTGCAGTACTGAACACTCTTTCAGATGAACAGCTAGATGCAGCAATGCAAAGGTACTTCCTGGCAAACTCTGATAGTTGAGGTAGAGTACCCATATTTGTTTTCCACCAGATAAGTGGATCATCCTCAGCACTGACCTCAGGCATCTGATCGTACACCAAGAATTCACCATTTATCTCGTCACTTGCAGAAAGAGGTGCTTGACTTGAGGATGCTGGCTCTCCTTTTTCTTTCTTTTCCCCTTGAATGGTGGAAAGCAGAAACTTTAGGTGATTTTTGGATTTTTTTGATGGCCTGACTTCTTTACTTGACAATCCTCCAGACACCCGAGATGCAATTCCTTCTTTTTCATTGCCCATTTTTTTCACCTCATCCAGGAGACTTTGCTTCACATCATCCTTTAGAGAGACAAAGCTGTTCTTAAATTGTGGATCAAGGTAGGTTGCAGTGTTCAAAAGAAACCGAAGCTGCAGGTCATCATAGCGATGCTGAAGATACTCGTGTATCTTTTCCTTCATCTCTTTGGCTAATGCAGAGTCACTTTGTTCATGACTGAGACACTCAAATATCTTCCAGAGTAACGGCAAGACTGAAGACAGGGTGGTATGTTTTTCCCCGCTAAGTGCATCAGTAAAAGGACTGAGTGGCTCAAGAACTGCTTTAACAGTTTCTAAAACTGTAATATCTGAGTCTTTTGGCATCAGATGCCATTTTTTCCTGTCTTCAGCCAGAATAGCACAGACAACCTGCTGCTGCTCCAAGAAACGTTCCACCATATCGTATGAAGAATTCCAGCGAGTGGGTTCATCATGAATGAGTTTGTAGTCTGGAGAGGACAGATCTTTCTGTTTCTTGGTCAGCTGGTGTGAAAGTTTTGGGGATCTTGTAAAGGCAGAAATAGTTTTTCGAAGCCTAGACAGCACTGCAGACACCCTGTTTATGTCTAATGCCTTATTTACAGCAAGGTGGAGATTGTGTCCAAAACAAGGAATGCAGGTGTAGTCCTCAAAGGCTTTTTTGTTATTTGAGGCACTGTCTGTTGTGATGCCTGACATTCTTGCAATGTCCAACTTTCAGTCTTCAAGTTTTTCATCAAAGGCCTCCTTCAAACTTTCAGCAGTGTGGTCTGTGTTGAGACTACAACAGCCAAGACACCAGGATTGCAATTCCCATGATTTAGTAATGTACTGCAGAGTTAAAGACATGAAAGTGTCTGCAGTTCTACTTGTCCAAAGATCTGTTGTGCAGCTGTAAAATGATTTGTCACTGAGATGCTGGATTATGAGGTCTCTGGTGTCATTGTACTACCGGTACTTAAGAAAACTTGGTACCGTGACGTTTAAATTTTTTTAGTACCGACTTGGTACCGAAGTACCGTGTACCGTGACAACACTAATATATATATATATATATATATATATATATATATATATATATATATATATATATATATATATATATATATATATATATATATATATATATATTGTTTTTTATTTGGGGGAGGAAGGGGGAGCCTTTTAACGAATGTGGCCAGGGTAAAAATCTCTTAAGCCCCCGCCTTGTTATGCTACTGTATAATTGTACTTTTATGCATAATACATGTTTTTTGAAGGGATTTTACATGCCTTTGCCTTTCATTATTTCAATATAATAGCATCAGTGACATTTTTTAAATTAAGTTACACTAAATGATTCTATATTAATGTTATTTGTCATATATAATTTTTAAAAATATTTAACTGCATTAACAAAAAAGTAATTTATTTATAATATATGTAAAAATTTATTTATAAATATATGTAAAAATTAACATGAAAAACGCGCAAGAAAAAAAACTACATATTTACTATTGAATGGTTGAACTGTTTTTTAACAACTGTTTTTTTAAAGTTTTAACTGATAAATCCAGGAATCATAAAAACTTATTAATGTGTTAATATTTGTTGCAAAGTTAAATAAAACCATAATCAATAGTCATAGCAAGATGTTGGATTGATTGAAGATGATTGAATTTGTATCTTTTGCACTTTAGATACTTGATTTGATTTTACAGTAACAAATAAACAAAATTAAGTATCCTGTTATAGATATGTATTTAATTTGTCTAATTATCTCAGAAAAAACAAACAAAGATTAGTTAAAAATTGAAGTTCCAACAATGAGAGATGTACTGAGATAAAGTCTACTTATTCGGGAACTGTGCTTCTTTTGAAAATTTAATAGGCAAGTCTTTAATTTCAAATAAATTTAGAGTGTATTCAATAAAATTTACTGTAAAACTGTTTTAAAAAAATGTTGTAATTAATATTAAAAGTTGAATTTTTGTTAATGTTGTTATTGTCATTTAACTGTAAAAGAAATTTCAGCAATAATGGTATTTAAACAATGGTTTTGATATAGTTTTATTTTGAAGTCCTGTTGTTATATCTGAAAAATTTTTGTACTGGCATTCCAAACATTAATGGAAAACTTTTTATAAATGATTATGACTTAAAAAGTATTAAAGCTTAGTTTGTGGCTCAATATACTTTTATTTGTGGTTGAAAATTAAAATCATTATTTTTAGTCCTTATCTAGAAGTCCAATATAGGAGATTAAGGATACAGTTCAAATATTTTACAAATGCCCAATTTTTTAAAATATCTGATACATTAAATATTTATAAAAATTGGGTGTTTTATCTCATATCTCTATATACTCATCCATGGATAATCGAACTTTTGCAGTCAATACAGTTATAAAAAGGAGATCCAGATTTTTGTGATTTTAGCAAGTGTAAAATTCCCCAAAAAAACTGCACTTAAATTTGATGTCTCTTTCTGAACTCATAGAGTAGTGAAAAATTTTGAAACTGAATTTCGCCCATAGGATTGGGGAAAAAAAGGATTTAAAGAAGGTATTAGAAAAAGGCAGTGAATTACTTACTTCCACGTTCAATTCTGTGAAAAACTCGTGAAATAAGACAAAATCAGGAGCTGCTGTTAGTAGTTTCCAAAGAGGGTAAGAGCAAAAATAGAGCACAGAGTTATGTTAGAAATCAAATAAAGATTAAAATTTAGTTTTAGCAAAATATTTTTTTATTTAAGTATGTTTTTTCTAAATTACATATATTTGTGCAGACAACTTATAAGTAGAGAAAATAACATAAAACATAAGGGACTAACATTCATTTTGCCAATAATTTAGATGTTATAACAATCATTTATATATGATAGCATAAAGATGTTATAACAATCACAATGACAAATACATAAATAAACAATAATGTATTGCATATATATGCATTTGTCATCATGATTGAATCAGTCACCTTAATTGAGTAAAATACTCAATATAAGTTTGAAAATTTCATTATTCTGTTTTCCTTTTGAATCCATAAGTGAAAATATAAAAATTTGGGTGGAAGAAGCCAGCTGTATAGCTTCCCCACTCTTGGTGGCCATGAGTAAATTGAACTTGTTTTAACTTATTACCTTAATATAACTGATGTTATATTAAGGTAATAAGTGATACATTAAATGCTACATGACTTATATGGTATAGCTTATTATATAATAATTTTTTATTTAAAATTTATCAAAAATATGTGATAATAAATTTTTAAAATTAACTAATTTGTTGTGGTAATTTTTAATTGTTGTGTGTGTATATTTTAGTAAATGTTTAAAAAAATTTAAACTTATTTTAAGCTTGAGACTGATGTAAATATTATATCTCGTAAAGCCAGAGAAGCACTTCAGAAATACAATCATCAGGTATTTTTTTACTTTTTTAATTTTAAACTACTAGTTGTGTTTTAAAATATCAGCTGTTCACCATTTTAAGATATCAGCTGTTGAACATTTACGATATTAGCTGTTCATTATTATAGGATATCAGCTGTTCACCATTTTAAGGTATCAGCTGTTGAGCATTTACGATATCAGCTGTTCAGCATTTTAAGATATCAGCTGTTTAACATTTTAAGATATCAGCTGTTCACCATTTTAAGATATCAGCTGTTTAACATTTTAAGATATCAGCTTTTCACCATTTTAACAGCATAATAGTTAATTACCAAATTTCTTTGAAAAGTATTATGTAATCTAATTTGCATTAAATTTTTTGTTTAAACATATTTATTATTGTCATTACTTTTCATTTTTCAACTTTCAAGATCAATTGGAATAATATGAGCTTATGCAGAGATACAAGCTCATTTTTATGTGTTTGTATTTTTCAAATAAATACATTTTCTATGTCAAAAATTTCTCTATAGAAACTCCCTTTATGTCTTTTTTGTTCTATTTCTTGCAGGCACACCTAATATTGCATTTTTAATTTAAAATGTTCCTGAACCATTAATGTGTTATATTAAAAAATAATAAATAAATTGATTTAAAATTACTAACATTAATGGTTTTTTGATTTACAATCTTAGCTCTTTTCGATTTAGCTCATTTAGAATTTCTTCACACTTGCATTTGCTGAGAACTGCTCCTTCCTCTAAAATGTAGTCATTTTTGTCGTTCCATCAAAACTAGGGCTGTACCGAATTTTGGCTCCGGCTCCTGCTCCGGACGAAATCTGGCCATTTTTACAAATCCGGCTCCGGCAAAATGTTAGCAAATCCAGCATAAATTTGGCCGAATTTTTGAATTTTGGTCAGATATTTATTACATCTTTCTTGCCCGTGATAACATGTATGCTTAATATTTTATTTTTACAAATCAATTTTTTAGTAATTTTATAGTCTATGAACTTCATGTTTGTTTTAGTAATTATATTTACATTTCTTTACAATTTAATTAGCTAATCCTAATTTCAAACAACAACGCAACAAAAATTCTGAAGGTAAGACACATGGTATTCTGCTATAATGCAGGTGTAAAGACTATGAAGTCAATCCTAATTAAGTCATTGGATGAGCGTTTTATAGGCATTGAGAAGAAAATTTTTTATATAGTGGTGACATGGTGACACTTGTTGATCCATAACTTTTAACTAAACTCTTCTCATTACAAGCAACATTGACAGGGGAAAAAGCAAGATCGAAGTCAATCTGATCATGCTGAGCAGCAGATTGACCAAACTAAAGAAAATCCAGCAAAACAAGCCCGGCTGGATAATTTTTTTACATTATCATCATTACAATGGCAATATATATAGATGAAATTATTCAGTCTACGCCTGCTTGCGGCACAGCACATAATCAACAATTACCAATAGGCATTGATACTCAGCTAAGCCAATATCTGGGAGAATCAGAAATATATAGATACTCTGATTCACTACAGTGACGGAGTGACAACATCCCGGAAAAAAAAGTTCTATAGAATTTCTCTAAATTTTTGAAACATATGGCCTTATAGAAACTCTATAGAATTTATATAAAATGTTTAATAATTTCTATAGAAATTGTTATAAAACTTTTTAACAACAAAAATGAAGTTTAAGAGAAACAACTGTCACTTGGTATTCTGATTATTCAACATTGTTGACCATTTTCAGCACCAAGTAGGGATGTACAGGATTTTGGCTCCTGTAGTTTTGCTTCAAAATCTGGCTCCGATTCCGGCCGGATTTGTTAGGAGAAATCTCGCAAATCCGGCTCCGGCCGGATTTGGAAAAATTAAATCCAGTACAGCCTGAATCAAAACACTATTGGTATATATGAAAACTAATTTTTTTACACGTTCGTTTTGTCAAGCAATTTCTCAATCGTGAATGAATAAATCGAAAAATTGACCAAGTTCTCTCTGCTGTTGCTGACAAACAATTCATTTCAACAATAGATTTTGCAACTTCAAAGACTGCTGAATATTTCTGACGACCAACAATGTTTTAATAATTCTTTGTGCTCATTTTGAAAATCGTCCCTTTTATTTTTTCTGTCAGTGTTGTCATTTCTCCAACAAACTCAATCATTTCACTTTTAACTGTCTCAGCAACTGTTGGATTTGTTTTGAAGGCTAATTCTGAAATTAAACTAGTTATATCAGTCTTATCCTCACCAAAATAGAATCCTTCTGCAGCATACTTTGGTGTCAGCATATAGGTGATTCCCATATTTGAGGTGATAAGGAATTTAAAGCGCTTCATAACCATTTCCTGAATATTTTCCTCATTTGCGACTTTCTTGTACATTTCACCAAAATAATAGTACACCAAAGATAATGGAGCATCATCATTTTCAAGTCTTCCAATGATGTTGGAAGGATATTTGATATCTTTCACAAGTTTTGCCAAACTATTGCAGAAAGCATTTGATTTAATTAGCATCAAAACAGCAGCCAAATTCGTTTTTGGAGCAATTTCTTTCAAAGATGCATTTTCCTTATATGCAAGTTGAATCTAAACATACTTTGCCATACAAAGATTGTTCATTAAATTAAAATGACTGAGCTATAGAGTCGAAACAGGCATTGTGAGTGAGCGAGATGAATATTAATATTGCGAGTGAGTGTGAGATGAATATTAGTTGCAATTATCATTTTATCAAACTTTGTTGTATGATGGTTTTTCACAAACTTGATAACTAATTCAGCTTCTTTGATGGTCTTTAAATTTTTTTTAGCAATACTCAAAATGTCCTTAATGAGAAGATTTATACCGTGTGTTGCACAGCCATACATCGAGATGTGTGGAAATTTTTCTTCAATTAAATTCCAAGCAGCTTTCATTACTGGAGCATTGTCATTGATAATGCTTCTGAACTTTTGTGGACCGAGAGTCTCAATTACTTCGATGATAGCCCCAGCAACAGCTGCAGCGTTTTGAATTATGCCCGATGTGATGATTGAAGTATAGAAAAACGGTTTTGTATTTGGTGCCTTGATACAAAAATTCACTATATGATGGCCACCAATATTTGTCCAACCATCACTGACGAGTGTTAAATTTTTAGATGATTCGAGAATTTCTTCCAATTTAGTGGAGCATTCTGCGTACTTTTTATCAAGAAGCAAACCTGACAGCGTTTTCGCACACGGTATTGGTGATGCATACAATAGATTAAGTGCTTTGATCAAATCCTTAAAAGCTTCAGATTCAACGAGACACAGCGATATTCCAGTTTGGAAAAAGAAGTTTGCTAATTTCATATCGATTTCTTTTTTTAATTCTCAGGGTTCATCACATTGTCCACTACTTCGTAAGTTTCAGCTGGTTGTCGAAGTTGATTAATGATTTGGTTTTCATTTTGTAAACAATCGTTTCTCGTCTTTACTAGCGTTTGGACATGATGTTCGTTTATGTGCTGCAACATAATTTTTTGCCCATTGAACTGTCTTTTGGCTAGCAATGCAAGTTCCAGTTCTCTTTACTGTATCGAGATTTTGCAAATATCTATTTATTGTAAAGTTTTCCATTGTCTTTCTGTTTGCTGAAAAATGTCTACTTAAACTATAAACTTTTGAGTTTTTTATTGGTTCATTTTTTGGTTTCAAAAGCACATTAATTTTAAATTTCATTAAACCTAGTGTTAAAACTCGTTTTTTTTTGTCTGACTAGTCAAAACAATTTAACGGTTTTTAATGATTTGAAAGCGGAAAAAAGTTATGGGCATAATTATGCAACTGTATGCGCACACTTTATTAGCGAATATCTGCGCATACAAATTTTTCCGAACCCTAGATTCCATCAATTACAATCAGTAAGCTACTTGACATCAAAATTGAGGACAATGATTGAGGTATTGTAAAAAACTTCAATATTCTCCAACCTTGCAAGTTCAGAAAAATAGGTCTTTATACTCCATGTCAATCTAATTCTCTTTGATCTGGAAGGTGAATCACATTTCATATGATCCACCCAATCCCATGATGTTGATTGCTACTTATTGAAAATGAATGACAGGTTTCCCAAATATTGAGCTACAGTTTTAGAATATGCATATGCAAACATGTTTAATCCACGTTACAAAGGATCAACATTGCATTGCATTGGGCAAAGGTACAACGTGCCCAAGATATCCTTGAATGATGCTGTGTTCAACATGTGGAAGGCCGAATTTAGGAATACCCCCTCACCCAACACATCACAATCCCTCAATGATGACACACAAGGCACAATGACACAGGCAAAAACGCAGCATCAAGATAACAAAACAACTAGATACATAAGAAGGTCTTGTGAAAGCTTAAAGGTCTTTAAAGGGATCCCTAAGTGCTCCTAACATATGATCTCATATGAAAAAGCATAAAAAAAAAATATGTAAGTTTTTTTTCTTTTTCACTAAATTGTAATAATAAATGCATGCTAACAAAAAGCAATTGCCGAAATCACTGAAAAACAACTCCATTTTGATTTTATTTTTTCACCATTGAAACTCGATTGTTAGTCGTTAAAAATCACGTTACTACGTCACAACAACTTTAAAATATCTACTTCGATTTTCAAGTAAAAAAAAGTCGTGATTAAATAGTTAAGTTTTATTAATTAGTTTTGCAAAAACAGTATAATATCATTCGGTTGAAAGACGTCGTTAAAAAAAAGTTATTAAGTAATAGTTTTTAATAGTTTAGAACTTATAAAAAAGTCTTACAGGGCTCGTATTAAGCGTATCGCGATCGCGATTGCTTTTCACACTTTTGTGATTAGTTTTTTCTTAAAAAAAATCTTTTCGCGATTTTTTTTTTTTTTTTTGGTTGTTTAATTACTTTTTTTCTAGCTTAGCATTTTTTTTAGCAATCCCTAAAAGTAATGTTTTTATCATAAAGAACGTCACACAAAATTTATTATTCTGAATAGATAGATTTGCTCTTTCGCGCGGAGATTTTTTTTCAACGTTAAACATTTTTGAATCTAAATTACTTTAAATCTCTGCGTGGAAAATTTTTACAAGGTCGTTAAAGCGAAAAGTTGAAAAGTTCGTTTTTATCTTTGTTTATCAAAACTTCATGTTTAAAATAAGGCTTAAAAACGTTAGAGCAAAAAAAATACTGACTTTTATTTGCATTTTTATACTGTTTGAAAAAAAAAACTAATAAAAAAGAATTAATTGTTATTATTATTAATTCTAATAATTATTAATATTATTAATTAATAAATTATTAATTAATTGTTATTATTATTAATTCTAATATATTATTAGTTAATTCTTTTTTATTATTTTTTTTTTTTCAAACAGTATAAAAATGCTAATAAAAACCAGCAATTTTTTTTACTTTAGCCTTATTTTAAACGTGAAGTATATTTTGATTTATTTAACCAAATTTTTTTGTTTCATCTTTTATTGGAAAACTTGAAATAGAAAAATTGAAAAAAACATTAACCATTTAAATAAAAAACTTAATTATATTTAAACCTTTATTAGTCCTTTATTCAAGAAAAAATAAATTATAAAAAACGTGGTATATAATTTTTTATTAAGTTTTTGACGATGTTTTTTGATTTGTTGACGATAATTCTCCCCCCCCCCCCATTCACGCACATCGGCGCGACCTATAAGAGAGAGAGGGGGGGGGGAGAGAGCAAAAAAAAATTTTTTTATCGCGATTAGATTTTTTTTTGCGTTAATTCGAGCCCTGTCTTAGTTTAATTTCTAATAAAATGTCTATTCAACCTTATTAATTTGAACCAAAAAAAATATAGCAAAATTAACATAAATGTTAATTTAAGTAAAACATTTTACAATAATAATTTTTTTTATCAAGCAAAAATGAGAGTAACCGTCACTTTTGAAACCATAAAAATGACTGAAATAAATTTATTTTTGTACTAAGGAAATATTTTAAATAAACTTTTATGTGTCTAAATCAATATTCATTTGTTAAAAACTGACTGAAAAGAGTTTAAAATTTGACTTCTATTCATTTTTGGCCGTGGAATTGCCCTTAAAACACAAATATATAAATTAAAATTATAAAAAAAATTTTAATATACAAATATATTTTCACAAAATGCTACAAAACTTATTCTTGTAAGTAATTGTGTTAGTTGAAAAAAAAACGACTTTTAAATTTAATTACCAACTAATAAAATTGCAATAATGACATTTTGTCTACTTTGTTTATTTTGACGTACAAACGTTAGTTTTTTGAGGCAGTAGAGTCAATAAACTTTGGACAAGACGCATTTTTTTTTAATCGAAGAAAAGCGTTTTTTTGAAAATTAAATTTGTTAGTGTGTGTTCATTATTACGTTTTAGAAAAAATAATATACATCAAACATTTTTTTTTTAATGCTCTTTCATATGAGATCATATCTTTATAGCACTTAGGGATCCCTTTAAGAAACTTTAAGAAAAATGGCTAATAACCCGGAAGGAAGGACCTTCTTAATAACAGAGATCAAGGCAGAGTTAGAAAGATATTTAACAACAATGTTGATTACCAATAATGGGTATATACTTCGTTATTGGAAGAACCAATCATATTAGTATCCCAAACTTGCCCGTTTTGCAAGGATAATATTGGCAATTTTAGTTGCTTCTTTCAGCTCTGAACAAGTAATTTTCACAGCTGGAAATATCTGTTGTGACGGTAAAACAAATCTGTCATCATCCAAAGTTGAAAAACTTGTTTTTATAAAAGAAAACTTAAGACAGATAAAGAAAAAGTATGTTAAAAGAATTTGTGAACAAAATCCAATTTTTTCTGTAAATTTTCAAGTCCTTTGTATTTGCAAATTTACAGAAAAAATTGTAGCATAAAAGCAAATAACAATAACCAAATAAAATTTTAGTTTTGAATTTTGCTGTTTCGTAAATTTTATTCTTTTGATGCATTATTTAACAATACAGTCTTTTGATGCATTATTTAACAATTCAGTTTTTTAATGCTTTGTTTAACGTTTAATATTATTAATACGTCAATGCATCTAACACGATGCATTGACGTATTTAGTAATATTAAACAAAACATCGCTGCTCCCTAATAATAGTTGCTTATTTTTATTTTTAATTACAAGTTTTAATTTACTTTTTAAAATAACATTAGGCATTGCGATTTAAAATGTAACAAGAAATTTATACTAAAACTTGAAGAATACATTTATATTTCCTGTCTTAAAAAACTTTTTAACATTTAAGTTTCCTGTATTGAAAAACTAACAAAAAAAAATAGCTTTACTAAAAATTACACTGTTACAAAAATTTTGTTACATGACAGCGCCTTTGACCCACTACTACCACTTTTATTACTACAACAACATCTACTGCTACAACTAATAGTAAAACCACTTCTATAACTACTATGAAACCACTTTTACAACTACTGCTACTTCAACTTTTAGTACTAATAATAATAATAATACCACTGATTTTTTTTATTACTGCTAATAAATTTTTTTAACTAATGATAATAATGTTAATTGTTTCTGATCTATTTACTTTTATTTTTATTTCATTCATGAGTTCGTTTATTTCTAAAAATATTTCTACTAGTTTAAAAATATTTTAGGTTGTCATTGCAAATATTTTACAAACTCGACGGAAAACTGTTGTGCTGGTTACACCATATGATGAAACTGCAATTTGGATGAGTGATCATGAATTAGATTTAGGCAAAGAAATAGAGGAAAAAATTGTAAATGAGCTCGCCAGACGTCATGTTCAAATAATTTCAGGTTTGCATATTTAGTTTTTAAATATAAATTTATAATTTAAGGTTGTTTTTTGCAAAAGAATAGATTTCGTGGTGGGTGGGGTAAGCTTAGAATAAAGACATGTTATATCTTTTGCTTAAAACAGTTTTACAACGTGAAATTGTTAACACAACATAGTAGTACACTGTTATTTATCACAACACAGTAATACACTGTTATGTAAAGTACACTGTTATGTAGCAGTTAAATGCGTATCCAGTCACAACTTATTACATTTAATAATAAAAATAAACTGTAAAATCAAATTTTTATACCCAAAAAATTGGGTATGTATCATTGACAATCTAGTTGATTCAAACTCGTCGTGTGATAATTTAAAACCAATTGTTTGATTAGTTGTTTTATTTAGTTGATACTTAAGCAAAGGTTTATTTATTAAATTCAGCTTGTCCCAGTACTCAGCATTTTACACATCATCCCCTATTACAAATAAGTTAAATAAAATTTTTACTGAATTTTCAAGTTACTTCAATTAATCTTCAATGTACAGGGTAAGTCATTAATTGTTTACTTTAGAATTAAAATGGAAATTAATAGCGATGGCAATTTAAATTTTTTAATGTGTTTACATAATAAATGTTAAATAATGTAATCTTGTATAATATTAACATTATATTAATATTATTGTATTATTAAAATTTATTTATATAATATTAACAATATATTACATTATTAACATTATATTATTGTATATTGTACAATAGATTAATATATAAATTGTAAAATAAGTATTGATTTTATATCTTTTTTTATTTATTTAAGCAGCTGTCGATGCTACACAACAACAACAACAAAATTCTTCAATTGTGACATCTAATTTTTCTTCTCAGGTATAATTGTAAAAGTGTGAAATAGTAGTACCTACAAATAGTTATAAGCCCTATTTTATTTTTAAAGTTTGTAAATATTGAATGTTTTTAAAGAAAATTGTTTTGATTAATTTGTTTGGAGTTTTCTTTTTATTTATTGCTGATACCTTACGTTAATCAAGTTCATTATTTTTCACAAAAATGTATCAAAGTTGTTTTGTTTTTTTATTATTAATGTTAAGGTTGTTAGATATTTTAAAATAAAAAATGTTAATGTTTCAGTATCAGACTCACTTGCCAAATACATCACTTAACTCGGTTTTGCCAGGATTAGCACCTATCAATGTTTATAATACAATTAACACAAAAGCTGGTGTCCCAAACGTTTTACTTCATTTAAAAAACTCTGGAGATGCAGACATTAATGCAGAAATTTTAGGAACTAATCTTCTAAAACGTTCCGTATCAGTTAAAGAAGAAACAAATGGTTTAAGTACAGAAATGCAAAGGTTTATCTTTGATTTCAAATCTAGACGAGTGAACCTAGGCTACACACAAGATGATGTAGGTAGAGAACTTTCCGCACTTAATGGACCAACATACAGTCAATCTTTTATATCAAGGTGTGAAATTTTTTTAAAAATGCGTAAATATATTAGTAAAATTATTTTATTTAAAAATTATATTGTTAAAGTAACGCGTAATATGATATATGATAAAAATATCCTTTATTATATTTGCATTTCTGACATTTATATAGATTTGAAGGTAAGCAGTTAGGAATGAAAGCAGCTGAACGTATGCGACCTATTCTGGAAAGTTGGATTCGATCGAAAGAAGATGAGCATAACCGTGGTAATAAATTTTCAAAAAAGAGACGTAAAAGGACAAGTTTTTCGCCAGAATTTATAAACACATTGAATGAATATTTTGAAAAAAATCCAAAGCCTTCCGTTGAAGAAATGGAAGAAATAGCATATAAGATTAATCTTGATCTAAATACAGTCAAGGTTTGGTTTTGTAATAAAAAACAAAGTTTAAAACGGTCTACGTCTCACCCAACTTCTTTGCGTCATGAATTAGATGGAAAACGAAAGCGGAAGACAGACACAGATATTTCTGATGTGCTACCGTTTGCTAGTCAAGGAACTATAAAAACTTATCTACCGGTATCGACCCCTACTGGCACTGTTAATCTTCCATTTTTTATAAATCAAGACGATAACAGTATATCTATTGTATCTGGAACATCTAACCAAGCTGGTCATCACAATCCAAATGGGGTACCACAACAATTAGTTCATCTTTCTCAACTTCCCATACTTACATCAATGTCTGTAATTAATAACGGACTTTCTTCAACCAATACTAGTGACGTTAACGCTACACATATACTTTCTAATGCCCGTCTGCTTTCTTCTGGATCGGTTATACAACTACAGGATGGTACTTTAGCCACTCAAACACATATGCAGTCTATCAACAACGCTGCTAATTTAAATGACGGTAGTGTTATTTTAACAGGCAGTATATCGCAAAATACAAATTCCCTTTCTTCACCGACTCTTAGTTCAAATCAACAACATAATGAATTGCATCTCTTGACCAGTTCTTCGCCATCAATCTCTGTTTCTTCAGTTCATAATGATTCAATAAATGATACGAGTGATCATAACGATAACGGAATAACTTTAGACAATCGACATAATTTAAAACTTAAACGGGATGTGAATAAAACTGCAAGGCTTTTACCTCGACTTCAGGCAGAAAAAATAAATAACGAAGTGTCTTGATTGTTATAGGCCTTAAAAAATTATTAATAGGATTAGTGTCTTTACAAATCTTCAAACATTGAAAGTTTTTAGTTATTCGCAAATATAATCAACTAAGTTATATTTTAAAGCATCCGTCATTTTGTTGTTTATGAACTTTTTTTATGACATACCATTTATAGACTAGTCGTGTCAGTATTTCGTCAGAATGTCCTTTTGTAGAGCCCTTATGTCCATTTGGAATTTAATTTAAAAAAATAAAGACTTGACTTAGAGGTACTTTAAAATTTGGTTTTCAGAAATCGCGTTGGATATTTCCAAAAAATTGAACCAGGGTGTAATTTAGGTTGAATAATAAAATTTACTATTCAGGAATAAAATCTTTAAATACCTCATTATAGTTTAGATTCAAGTTGACACTTGTTAGTTTAAAATATTTTTTTTTATTACTTGGTCTTTAATAGTCAGCAAATTATTAATCAAAGCAAATTTTTTTTCACATAAGAGATACCTTCAAAAAATTTCGTAAAACTTTTAATTAAACTTTACCCTTAAAAACAAAGTTTTGTTTTTTACTTAATCACGTGATAATTAAGCAAATAATTTTGTTGAATTAAGGGAGAAGTTTTAAAAAAAGGTTTACGGTTAAAATACTCTTCAATTTTTTTTTTAATTTTAGGAATGTAAGACATACCCCGTTCACACTAAGTGCTGTTTTAAACTAAACTTGTTTTGAAGGAAAACTGGTTTTATATTAAAACACGTTTTCAGTTTTTTTGCGTTCACATAAAACGTTTTAATCTCAACATTAAAAATGGCGTTCACAAATAAAAACTTGATCTCAAAATTAAGAGTATTCTTGGACATATCAAGAAAAAAAAAAAGAATGCAATTACAGCACATTTTGATAAACTGTATCCGTGCTTATAATTATTCTATTCACAGAAGATTTTGGACTAAACCTCGCAGTCAGTTCTGGTACAAAACTATGTCGTTCTGTTGGAACGACGACAATTGGATTCAAAACATAAGAATTTCAAAAGCAGGCCTTAACTATCTATGCAAGGAAGATTCAATTTTTATGCCTATACAAGAAACTAACTTTCGCAAATCTTTGCCTACAGAATTAAAGTTAGCTGTCACACTTTACTTTTTAAGTGGATTTGCAGATTACCGGACAATAGCCAACCTGTTTGGCTTAGGAAAATCTACTGTTTGTACAATAGTTCATAAAGTTTGTAAACTTTTTGTTGATAATTTACTGAAAAAATACATTTTCTTACCCTCAAGGAAAGAGACAATAGAGATAATGGCAAGTTTTGAAAAACTATATGGTTTTCCACAAGTAGTTGGAGCAGTTGATAAATGTCAAATAAGAATAAAGGCTCCTTATAACAATTCAGAAGATTATATAAATAGAAAAGAATATCACTCCATTATATTACAGTGGTTGGCAGATAGCAAGTACTTTTTCAGAGATATTTTTGTTGGGTGGACTAGCAAATCTCGCGATTCAAGAGTTTTTAAAATTTCTCCTTTATATAAAGAGTGTCTAGCGAAAACCTTTTTACCTAATAACTTGAACAAAATAATTGATAACATAGAAATTGGTCCTCATATTCTCGGTGATTCAACTTATTCCCTTGAAAATTGGCTTATGAAACCCTACTCAGATCGTGGAAATTTAAGTGTAGAAGAAGCCAAGTTTAGCGCTTCACTAAATAAATGTAGAGTTGTAATAGAGAATTCATTTGGAAGATTGAAAGGTCGATTTCAATGTCTTCTAAAAAGATTAGATACAACAGTTAAACACACAGTCAATATTGTTACAACATGTTGTATTCTACTTAATTTCTAAATTTTACATCTGCACAATTAAAAGATATTTTGGAAATTCATGAAAATACTTTTATGAAGATGTTTAATGATAGAATTGAAAAGCTTGAAAACAAATTAAACTCAGTAATTGACGAGAATAAGGAGCTAAAAAAGGAATCGGGCAAACTAAATAAAGCTGTTGAATTTGTGAGTAGTAATTATAATAAAATAGTTGCTGATCATTAAACATCAAAAACATCTTTGATAAATGAATATGCAAATACTAACATGATTAACATATTGGATGATTTTAAAGACAGAAGTCGACGCAACAACTTAATTCTGTGGGATTGAAAACGAAAGTTGGGAAAACAGTGAAAATAAAGTAAGAGAGTTTTTAAATGATAAACTTTTGCTACACAAAAACTTTGAAATTGAAAGAGCACATCGAGTTGGAAAAAATTACCTGAAAACAATAAAAAAATAGATTGATCGTAGTCAGATTTCTTAACTACAAAGACAAAGCCACGATATTAAGGAAATACACGGTGATGAAACTATGGACTCAAAAGATTTACATTAATGAAGATTATAGTGATCATACGCTAGAATTGCAAAAAAAACTCCTGAATGAGGCAAAAGATTTAAGGGGAAAAGGTTAAAGTTATATATGATAAATTAATCACACGAGATTAATAAAAGAAATTCTTTAATCTCATTTCGATTATGTAAAAGCAAAAATAAAATGGATTCTAACGAAACCTTAAATTTTGAGTCAAGCTTTTATAACTTTTTTCAGACTAAGGATTTCTTATTAGACGATGAATCTGATCCTCATCTTAATTATTTTACTAACTCTGGTGCTTTGCAAAATAAATGCGACTACTTTTATACCCATGAAATTAAAAGATTTCTTGATCACAATAATATTAACACAATTCACATTATTATCCGAAGTTTAAAAAATTTTTTTGAAATCTTTAGCAATTGTATTGAAGAAACTTGTAATCTATTTAATATAATTTGCTTAACAGAAACATGGTGCAGTTTGGATGACGAAAATTCTTTTACCGATTTTGAACTGCCGGGTTTTAATGTAACTTCTATAGGCCGGGTGAATAAAAACAAGCAATTGCTTTTACTCAGGAATTGGTAAGCTTTACGTGAAAAAAAGCTTCAGTAATTTTACATAGGTTTTTACTCGCGTAAAGCAGACCAATTACTGAGTAAATTGCTTACCTTTACGTGAATAAAAATTGGCTGAAAACTGCTAAAGTTTTTATTCACGTAAAGCTGACCAATTACTGAGTAAAAGCAATTGCTCATTTTTATTCACCCGGCCTGTTAGCACGAAAAGCAAATAAGCGTGGAGGAGGCGTTCTTATTTATGTTAAAAATAACTTACGATATTTTACCCGGCATGACATGAGCATCTCTGATGCTGATAAAGAGATTTTAACGATTGAAATTTTAACCAATAAAATAAAAAATAAAATTCTAAGTTGTTGTTATCGCCCACCTTCAGGTGGGCGATAACAACAACGAATTAAATTAAAAATTTTAATTCGTTTTACGTAATGACGTTATTAAAAAAAGTAACCACAAAAATAAATTTATCTACTTATTGGGTAATCTGAATTTAGATTGTTTTCAAAACCACGTTAATAATAATATTAAAAGATTTTATAATGGCATTTTTGAAAATGGTGCGATTCTTTTGATTAGCAAACCGACAAGAATTACTCAATTAAGTGCCTCTTTAATTGATAATATTTTAACCACTGATGTTTTTAACGAATCCTTAAAAAAGGGCATAATTAAAAATGACATTTCTTATCATTTATCTATTTTCTTTTTTATAAATACAGATTATAAATTACTTCCTAATGAAAAGCGAGTTTTCAAAAAGCGCATATTTACAAATGGCAACCTTGAATCTTTTAAAGAACAATTATCTCTAATTGATTGAAGTATTTTTAACACATCTGATGATACAAACTTAGTTTATAACACCTTTTTTAAAACTTTCTACAACATTTACGACACTAATTTCCCTGAAGTTAATTTAAATCTCAAAGCTAAAAGTATTAAATCGCCTTGGATAACAAAGGGTTTGCGGAAGTCTTCAAAAATTAAACAAATTTCTACATAAGCTTGTTTATTGGAGAGTATTTCCAATTTACTTTATGAATGTCATTTTGAATTTTATATTATTCTATTATATCACTCCGTTCTCTTCGTTTTTCTAATGACGTCAATCCAAATTCTTTTAATCGTTCCACATTTTTCATACCTTTTAAACATCTTATTCTTGTTGCTCTTTGTTGTACTTGTTCTATTTTAATGTTTTTTTTATAATAAAGATTCCAAATTGGTGAATCTAATTTCAATTGGGGTCAAACTAACGAATAATGTAGCAGTTTCATTAGGTCTTTATCTAAGTATATAAAACAATGTTTTATTTTACCAAGTATTCTGTTTGCTTTTCCTGCAATCATATCTATATGATTTTTCCATTTTATATCATTAGATATTAGGACCCCTAAATCTTGTTCCAAAGATGTTTTTATCATAGTGTAATGATTTTCATTGCTCGTTGGTTGGCTCATATAATAATTATAGCAATATTTTTTTTTCCCCTTTCCCTATTTTGCATTTTGTGTTAAAGTGTAATAACCATTTTTTACTCCATTTACTAAGGTTCAATAAATCCTCTTGCATTGTATAGTTATCGTTGATATTTGTAACCACCGATAATTTTTGTATTGTCGGTGTCACGAAATAAATGTTCCCCATTATAGAATTTCCCCCCGGCCGAAATATTCTTTCCGGGGGGAAAATTCATTTCGAAATAATAATTACCCCCTCGTAGTATCTTTTCCCCTATCTGCAATGTAAAGTTTCCCTCCGTGGCATTAGTTCCTCTAAATACTTAAATATACTAATTGATATGACTTGCGCAACTAAATGCGCAAATAAAATGATCTAAATTTTAAATGCTAAATTCGGTTTAAATACTAAATTAATTAAATGATTCTACATTAAAAAAATAAAGTTTCACTTGAATCAAACTATAGTCTATAAAAATGTACCTATATATATTTCTATACATAGGGTATATTTCTATAGACTATGATCAAACGCATCAATCATAAAAAATAAGTGTCAGATAAAGTTTTTTTACGCGCTTTTTCCATTAAAGACGCAAACAAATTACTAAAATTATTTGTTTGATTGTTAGCAAAATAACTACGTGCAAGTTTAGAACGCTTTTGAATGTTTTGAAAAGCTCTTTAGTTTTCGAATTTTTGT